CCCCAAAACCCCAAAACCCCAAAACCCCAAAACCCCTCATTATAAATTTAATTTTGAATAAAATAATTTTATGCCTCAAAGAGTTTCTATTATAGACGAGAGAAGGAAGTCAAGAAGAAGCACTCCTCCGAAGAACATGACTCCAGGCAATTACCAGCACCGTTCAAAGAAGAGATTAGATAATCATCAGTTTAGCCACGGTAAATAGCCTATTTCCATTATCTTCTGCTAAAATCCCTATATAATTGTTATTCCTGTTATGTAACTCAGCCAATGAGCTAAACCTGTGTGCTTAGTTAAGAAAAATATTCTAAATTTTCTCTATAAAGTTCCCCAATAATCTTTTTGATTTCAAAACTGCTGGTAGTAACGAAGACCAATATGAATTCTTCAAATAGTTAATAACAAATTGTTCATAGACCCAACTTTTGGACTCACAGGTGTTGACCAAGGAGGCCATCAGACTAAGCCAAAGAGGATCCATGAGGCTAACTCAGGCCGTCTCCCAACAGAAGATGATGCCAGGAACAGATCTATGTATGAAAGGAGTCCCTTTGGCCTAAGTATCGGTAGGATTGACCAAAAGTAAGCCATCTCGTTTCAGAACCCGTTCTGACTCTCTCTAGGTATGAACACTGGAGAACAGTAAGAGAGCGTAAGCTAAAACTATCCCAAGATTACGAATCTCAGATTGAAAGTATGAAGGAAAAAGAAAGGACTAGAGAAAAGAGCTACAACAAGTTTCTCAAATCAGAACGAGATAAGAGGAGGACCCAATTCCACAAATGGGGTGATCGCAGACAAGCTGCTAAGAATTATCATGACAGGTCCATTAAGGATATCGAAGACACCAGTTATCTAGAGTAAGCCTTCGGGTTTACCTTTTAGTTATAAGAAGAAAATTAGAGAATTGAAGAAGAAAGAGAAAGAAAAGGCTCAAGGTATAAATCCGTTATAACTCCGTAGAGGAATATGACAAAATGAAGGAAGATATGAGCAATACATTTATGGTAGCTGGTGCTAGAGATAAGCAACTCATTATTCAAAGCCAGCAACGGATGGACAATGAGTACACTGAGAGCAGAATGAAGCTCAAAAATCTGGATGACAAGATGCAGACGGTTACTAATAGACTCAATGATAATTTCAAAAAGAGAATTGAGAGTTTGAACACTCAGAATACAAGGACTCATGAGATCAAAACCAAAATGGATAAATATGAAGAAGAGGCTAAAGAAAAGCATTTCATGGACTATTTCAAGAAGCAGATGGACTACATGAAGAGGATGAAGAAACTCAAGAAGGTATAGAGTCGTTTCTAATAACTTCTAGGAGCACAACCGGAGACTGACCGAGAAAAATAACAAATCTATAGATGTTAGACAAGTGGTAGATAATAATAAAAGATCTAAGGCTGTTGAATTCGAAATGTTCAAGGATAAAGTCAAATCAAAGCACAAAAGGTATCTTATCTATAATTCTTCAGAATCAACAGTAGTGTGAATAAGGAGTCAAAAGAGCATGAAGTTTCAGAGAGGATCCACTCTACTAACCAGAAGAGGCAGCATCGTCATTTGAAAATTAGGAATCATCAGAAAAGATTACAGGAGAGATTCAAGCAAAGTGTTATCGAAAAACATCTCACTAAGCTGAGACATAAGGAGATCCTTCAGAAAAAGAAAGAGGATCTCATGGAGTTCTCCCTTCTGAAGCAGAAAGAAGCACTATATGAAAGATAAAACTGATTCTTCTAGATGATCTAGAATTTTCAACCTAAAATTGGAAGCAGGGGTTTTGGGGTTTTGGGGTTTTGGGGTTTTGGGGTTTTGGGG